ATTGTATCAGGAGCTTTTAGATATATTTTGGGGCCCTTCTGAATCGGATTTGAAAAAAATACTAAAAAAAAACTACTGATACTGTCCGATATGCCTCTACCGGCGTATCGGACATATTGATATCTTGAACCTTGGGTTCAAAACATAAGGCTCTCTCTCTCTATGGGGCAATGTCGGTAAAATACTAAGGGCCTGTTTGAAAGGACTTGTGCATTGATTGAGTTTCAAAGAAGCTGTCTAATATAGCAACTCGGATTAGCTGAATGCTTTAGCTGTGTAACAGGCTGTGGGATTAATGATAATGCCCCATAACAGTGATGAAATACATAGGGCCTATACTAACGAGTTCACATCTGCACCCCACAAGGGGGTGCCCCACAACGTCCCACAGTACATCCCCTCCATGTATTGGGAACATCTCCTGATGATACTAGGAGAATTGATGATGTTATCATCGGGAGAAGTTCCCAATGCACGGCAGGGATGTGTTGTGGGACATTGTGGGGCATAGATCTGAATTCCATACTAAGAGATTGAATGGTTGTGGGTGCCCGGTGTGAATGTTATAATTGGTTCCACAACTTGCTGAATAGCTGTTGTGTTTAGCTAATCCTATCTTTTAAGATAGTTTCACCAAAAAGTTGATCTTTTGACTCATGTAAACGTACTTTTAGCTTTCCAATTTTTTATTTTTTATCAAACAGACATACATATATAGCTTCATGGCTTTGTCTTTGTAAGTATCTCGGTTCATGTAACAACCCTCCCAAATGGACACCAAAACTTGTCTTTGGGTTGCTTATTGACTTACCTCTGTTGTTTGGAGTTAAGCTATTTCACATCTCTACTATTGTGCTGTCAGTTTTAAGTTCTAACGATGTTTGGGTCTAAAACTACTTCTCGAAAGTACTTTTGGTGAGGAATATATGGTCATGGAGGTTAATTTACTAAGTCATCTTTCTAAATGGGGCCAAGAATTTTGTATATTTCTTGGCTATGTGCCTTGCTGGTTTTAACTTTAATATAGGTAGTGCGGTTACAAATTTTCGAAGTGAATTTACTGTAGCGTCCTCCATGGAGAGGATTTCTTCCATATTCTTCACTTGAATATAGGAAATTTTCTTGACCAATTATATGAAAGAGAACGTCTTGTATCAATCAGGGGACCTCATAACTTGCCACGTGTTGCATGCTTCAGGGATAAGGACCCACCATTAGATGGATCCAGCTAAATAATATGGTCCTATTATATATATATATATATATATATATATATATATATATATATTTATATTTAATTTTAATATAAATATTTTTCAAGTATCCAACTAAAAAGAAAAAAATTACTTATTGACCAGATAATCATCTATGACTGAGTTACTTATTGACCAGATAATCTATCAGATGGTACGTTCAGTAGTGGGTCAAAGATCTATTAAAATTAAAACTGGGCCATGATAATCCATAGAGGCTCCAAACCCAAGATTTGGACTAAATGAAATTGTTTATACAAGAATCCAAAACATCACTTTCATTCACTCTTTATCTTCTTTTTTTTTTTTTCTTTTTAATTGTTTCTTCTTGTCCTCATGGGAATCAGTAAAACCACCAGATTTACTTAAATATATTTGAAGTAATTCATGGTGATAAAATCAGGTTGAGTCCAAACAATTGAATTGAAGCTGTGAACAACTGAGGAGTTGGTCCCAACAGGATGTATTTGGGTTAGAAGATGACACAACCACATTTTTTTTCTTTTTTGTTTTTTTTGTAGCTTCAAAATGATTGAAGCAAATTTAGTAAATAAATCCAACTTGATCCCAAGAAAACTTTTGTTTGGGTACTTAGAACAAGAAAAGTCTTGAAAACTGTACAATTGAAATCTTCAAGAAAAGTATATAATATCAAAAGACATATGATGAGCAAATAATGTACCTTTTGATAAGGAATACAAATATTCAAAACAAATATGGATATTTTAAATTATCTTAATTATATAAAATACATTTTACACATGATTATATATAAAAGCAAAAAACCATGCTTTTATGTTTCTCTTTTTTCCCCCTTCTAACTGTGAAAGCATGGTCAATAAAATCTTTGGATCTGCAGGAAACATACTAAATTTTCTTTGTTGTCAAAGAACTAAAAAACCATATTGAACATTTCAACACAGATGTAGCCCTAAAATATTCTATTTGGTTTGTGGGAAGGGAAGAGAAAAAAAAAGAATATTCTCAATGTTCTCTTTCAACATTTGGCCTGTTGGAAAGAAAGGCAAAAGGAATATTCTCATATTCTTCCCTTCCCATGTTTAGAAGGGAATTGGAATGGGAAAGGGGGAGGGGGGTAATTTGAGTTCAGTCCCCCTCAGAATTCCTAATGGGATCTGGTATCCTACAGTTCTGAGGGGAACTGAACTCTAAAAAGGCTAAAAAAATCTAGGATACATTTCTCAATGTTTGGGAACTGAAATCACACCATTTTGGTGTGAAAAAAGTGGAAAAGAGGGGGGTGTTATCTAACATTTGTCTGACATAAAGAAGAAAACTACCATCCCTGTAGTACTTTTAAAACTGACCTTAAACCACTTTTCTTTGTCTATGTAATGGGTTAATAGCTCAACCATTTGGGTTAAATTGATTAAACATTATGTTATAATTAAGTATCATAAATAAGCTTATAAATTAGAATAATCTTTTATTAATCACTTATGCACGTATACAAGTAAAGGGTAGTGATATAAATAAAAGAAAATAGAGAAGAAGAAGAAGAAGAAGAATTATATAAGCGAACCAGTTGGTAGCTTCAGCATGCAAATGATATCCGTTTGTCTGAATTTGAATCATTTATAATTGGACTGAATGTGAATTCACCCCTATCTAATCTAATATAATTCAATTGGATATTATTTAAAATTATATATATATAGTGTTATATAGTGTGTGTATGTGTTCGTGCCTGCCCATATCTACTATAAAATTTATATTGTAATTAGAAACTATCACTAAAGTTGGTTTAAATGTTATATGTTTACAAAACAGTCAGTCATAGATTTACATCGCATAGAAGTTGTCCATAATTTATTTTATTGATGGCATACAATATCAAAGTCATTTTCAACTCATTTTATTAATAATATATAATACTTATTAATGATTTTTAATATTAGAACGCAATCTAAATTCAGCTTAAATCCAATGGATGATATTCTAATAGAATCCATGAATCAGAGGAGGGGGACACATATAGGACCCACTAGACATACCATGAAGACTGCAGTTCCACAGGTTTCATGATACCAAGTGACCATCTCAACTACTGCATCATTGACTTTTATATCCCATTTTATCCTTTCTAGTCCTATTCTTTGTTGCCTGCACCTTAAGGCTGTGTTTGGATTGAAAGAAAAAGTGAAAAAACCTTTACAAACCTTGTATAAGTTTTCCTACCTTTTCAGTCCCTGCTTTTTTCCTTCAAACATAATTTTATTGATCATAATCTCTTTAAATCATACAAAAACACTCCTCTAACCACAATCATCTACCCACCCCTGATTACCCATTTGATAACAGCAAATACATGGGACATATTCATCCATATAAGGGGATTTTCCATTTTATGTAACACGAATGTTATTGTTTTCGTCTATCAAGATCAGCTTCAGCTACCAATTCTTAGGAAGGGAATAATCATTCCCTCGAATAGAAAAATGCCATTCCAGTAAGAATAGGAATGAAATTCCGATTCCACAGAACCAAACAGTTAAAATTAGAATAACCCATTTGTTTTCGTCATCTCTATTGTAATGAGATACTTAGAGAGGGCTTTTGAGTGTTCAATTTGTGTTGTATTTAGGGCGGTCTATGCCCTTCTCCTTTATTTTGTTCAGTTGTTCTTTTCCCTTGACAATGGTTAACAAAAATTTAAAGTTACCACCCATTTTAAGGTTAAAAAGTTTTTCCTTTTACTTGCTTTTAAATCTGCCACATCAAAAAAAAAAACAAATACATTTGTTGAATTGTGTTTTTGTTTTGAGAAGCAAAAGCAAGTTGACTTTGTTTAAAAAATACATGTTTTTGAAACCATTAAAGTGATAGTTTTTCTAACCATGTCCTTTTGAACCGAAAATTAACACTACTATTTTGTTTCAATTTTGAAAACAAAAATTAAAAAAAAAATACATATAGTCATGTTCTATTTTTAAGAACCAAATTGTCTTCAACCCAGCTAGTTTTGTTTTGTTTTTGAAACTCGCAATAAGAAAAAGAAAATAGTTCACATTCACGAACAACCCCTAATAAGTCTGCGTATTAAAATATCTTAGAAAAGAGTCAAAGACATTTAGGGGAAAAAAGCACGTGCAACGCAACAAAGATGGTAATGTAGAGAAATCCCAAGTTAAAATAAACCTGTTTTGAACAACAACATTGACAATGGTTATCTAATCACCAAATTCAACATCTTTTAATAATAATATAGTATAATTTGGAGGCAGAATTATCAAAGCAATACCCACTTCACTTCAACAACAATCCAAATTTCCACAACCTAATATTAGTATATTAGTGCAGCTAATCCAGTGTCCAAGGCTAATGCAACACAACACAATATTAAATTTTGCCCAATAACATCACATGGCCTCCATAAACTAAAACCCCTGTACTTCATGTCCCCTTCATGCTTACATCTGCCAAACAACTCACCCAATATTATAGTAATAGTGAGATATAAAACAGCCCAAGTTCCCTTGGTCAAGTTGTTGTATGAATCTCCACCAACTAAAAAAAAGGCCTAGGCCGTTGGAGAGAACCCAGTATTAGAAAACCACCAACTCTATGACATGGTTTTGGCACCCAAAATATAGTAAATGACACAAGCAGAGAACAGAAGACCATATCATCTTAACTCTTACTCTGTTAGTTTTTTCCTCCTCATCTTTTATTTGTAAGGATGCAGAAGAATTTTGTCTTGCACATTCATACTACCCATCAAAAAAATGATCCTCAAAATTGGCAATTTTCTAAATGAAATTTATTTTTAACAAATTTGAAGGAAGAATCCGATATCAAAACCAGGGATAGCATGAGAGATGAGAAAGATCAAAGAAAATTTAAGAAAAAAATAGTTACAGGGTAAACTAGTTTCTGGTCACCCAAAAGCATTATATGTTTTATATAGTGTCTATTCACCAGTGCCTCGCTTGAAAACCGCCTTTGTTCTTTGCAAAGAAGGAGTTCTTCGGTTTTGGAATGTCATGAATGTCCATCACTTGAATTGTTCTTTGCTTTTTTGCTTCACAATTAACAGAAACATAGAGGGTAAACCATTAATAAAACCCAACATAAATAAAAAGGAAGTAAGATATAGGAACAAACCAACAAGAGAACAAACCATTTTGAGCCTCTTGGTAGTTTTCATGAAGTCGTCTTCTAGCTGAAGCAAGCCTTTCAGGATCGATGGAGCTATCCTTCTGTTCCCTTTGTTTCTGCATAACTCAATAAAGCAAAATCAACCAAGAGATAGAAAAGGAAAGGACGAAAGACGGGGAACAAATTTCGAAAGCAGGGCATGTCTTTATTATGTATACATTTGGAGGAACAGAAGTGGATGCAGGGACAGATTGAGTTGGCCTCATTTGAGGTTCTCTTCGAGGAATTATTTTCTCCTTCCGTTCTGATTCTGAATTGTTCTTATCTGAACTGGAGCTCCCATCTGCAATTGTCATGGAAAAAAAGATAAATCAGATGAAGTTTGTTTTTTTTTTATGGACACAAATGAAACCAATTGATTTGAAGTTTTCATTTCCAATGCTTACTATGTGGATTTGGAGAATATGCAACATCAGGAACCTGAAAAGAGTATAACTGAGATAAAAATATTGTCTTTTGGCATGTGATGAAATGTGAAAGGCAATAGAAGTTCTATAGATCCTTCACCTGGTGATGACTGTTTTGGGCACCTTTTGAGGGGTTCTGTTGAGGGGAGTCTCCATCAGCTGCCACCATTAATGACCTTTCTTGTTAAGCCTTACAAAGTGATTTTAATTCTACTTTCTGCAATTCTGTAAGATGGGGGTTTGATTTTCTTTAGTACCAATTAGTGTAGATGCTGCAGTTTCTCCTGGTGTATTTGATTTTACCCATTCATCAACTAATTCCTTCCACTTCCTGTAAAACACAAAACTTGAAAAATATCAAATCTACCTCTGCTTTTATGTTTAAGTTGGTAAAATTTGTTTCAAGGTTGATTTTCCAAACCTGACAAGCTGCTTTACTAATCTCCTTACTTCATTAGATGAATGCTTTCGCAAACGGTTTACATGCCTTCCAATGTCAGTTTCCTGAAACAGTTAAGTGATTAAAGAAAATAAAAACATATAAATTTTTCAAAGAGAGAAATTTTCCATACTTTCTACCTTGAGAGTCTTAAATGTTAGATCCATGTCTGCAAGATCTTGTAGCAGATTAACTAGAGAGTCTTCAGACTGATAAAAAAGATGTATGAAATACAATGTTAAAAAGAACCAGTACAAAAAAGAAAAAAAAAAAAGAAAGAAAGAAAACAGAAAGGTTATAAGCACACAACCAGAAGGAGGAACTAAAGAATTACAGAAAACTAAGATGGAATCATGGAAGCAGAACCTGATCAGGGTCTTCAAGATGTTCCTTGATAGCCAGAATCTTAGTTTGTTCATCATCAAATGGATGTCCATAGCTCCGATCATGATCTTCATCTCTATTGGATTGTGGAGTTGATGGAGAACCTCTCTTTCCTTCAATGCTAGAACTCTCTTTTATAATGGAAGCCTCTGTCCTTGTTTGATGTACCTTCTTTTTAGTTTCGTGACAGTTTTGTCTTGTTGAATCAAGATTGCAGTTCTGACACCCTGAAACAAATGGCACGTAAAGCCGCTCAATGATTCCGTCTCGCCTGTCCTTCAATTCATTTTTGTAATCCAAAGAAGCAACAGAAATCGCCGTATCAATGAACGTCCACACATCTACGCCAGAATTTCTCAAAATCGATCTGAAATCATCAAAATTCATTCTCTAAAGGACTTAAAGCTGACTGAGACTCGACGGAGCCTCAAATCTGAGGATTTCACCCGGTTTTCCCCGGTCAAAGTGTGATTTTAGAAAGCTTTAGATTCTCAAGTAAGATATTCTTCAATTTCTTGAGAAGATCTGCAAATACATCACAAGATAGACGCATGTGTTATTGCATCAGCAAGGGTGAGAGCATACATTCACTTTTCAAACCTTCAAGACAATTTATGCACACAAAAGAAAGCTTTCAGATGTTCATTATCAACCAATGGCAAGTATTTTAAAACCAAAGAAAAATATATAGGCCTTAAAACTAATCATCCCAAATTTCCTAATCACTATAGATTTCAATCAAATCTTCACAAGTTCAAATTTGAAAACTGCATTGAGACAAATTTACAAAGACCACTTATCAAAAGCAAAAATAGTTACAAAGACCAGAAAATATGCCAGAAAGAGAAAGGTCAAATCCTATAAATCTCACCTTGAAAGCTAAATCTCTTGAGTTTGCAAATTTCAAAACCTCCAAGTTATTCCTTCCTCTTTTTCGTTTTCCCCCTTTGGTTCTCTCAATTCCTTGTCAACCAAACAAGATTTCTCAGTAATATTTAAGGTTTTCTTCCTTTCTCTTTTTCTTTTTCATTTTGGTCTTAGTACTCAACATTGAATCACCTCTTCTTCCATGCTCTCCCAAAACAAACTTCATTGGAATGTAAGGGTTGCAATGCAATTTTCCAGCAGATCCCCCACCCCCAACCAACCAAAAGAAAAAAGGGGAAATTTTCATTCCATGAAAGTAGCTTTAAAATAACCTACTCCAAGCCATTGCATCACACACCACTCATGAATGTGTATTGCTGGCAAGTTATCTTTATGAGCTTTCTTACAGGGCACCTTAAGATCTCACAAACTGTCAGTGTCACTTATCACTTTTCATTAGAAACTAAGTTATAAAAATAATGTCAATCCATTGAAATGCTAGGTACACTCAGTATCCTTAGTTATATCTGTCAAGGACATTTTTTGGTTGCTTTAAGCCATGCCGTTGTTCTAGCATTCTATCAAACAATCCAATTCACTACATCCAGAACAATTTAAATCTTTAATAGTGACCAAGCACCAGATTGAACATAATGAAAAGAGAAAACTAGTTCAAGAAAATACCAGAAACAATTAAAAAAATCCTTAAGCTAGAAATTAATGGTTAACTGATATTTCATTTTGCAACAATTGAAACAAAAAAGTTTCTTCTTTTGATTTGCAGAGGTGGGTGGGTATTGGAGCTATAACATCCTCCCCAAGTGAGAGGAAAAAACCAGAACTACCACTTATTTCTATTATTCATGAAGGTCGTTGAGTTCATTAAAGTTAAATTCCATGGAGATTGGTTAATCTTCAATGGAACAGAGGAACCGAAGAAAGAAAAGTTTGCGCAATTTAAATGTCCTTGATAGTATCAAATTCTTGTCCAAAATGACAGCATAAACAGTTCAAAGGAATGACTGAACCAACAAGGTAAACCCAGAAACAGGAAGAGTACTTCGTCAGGATCTAATCTCCATAAAATAAACATCTTCTGGGAAATAAAAGAACAGTTAAAAGGAAAATAAAAAAGGTCATTAGATAAAGTGCATATGTAAATCTACTTTCAGCTCAGATTCCATGTTTAATCCTTAATTAGATTTCTCTGTTCAATGAAAATATCACACGAGGAGATGGGTCCATCGCTCTGTTCCTCAATCTCTGATTATGCGATTTTTTTCAGGGTTTTATCATAAAAAAATAATCCCAAAACAAAGAAAAGAACACGAGCTAACAAAACTCAATCATCGTGCCTATGGAAACAATAAGAATATTCAAAGAACTCAAATTTGAACCAAAGCAAACAACATACCGATCAAAATGCAGGGGATCTAAAGATCAACCAATCCAAACACAAAGCAAAACCAGAGAAAGAACAGAAACAACGCAAAAGAGATAACATGAGGAAGAACAAGGAAAAAAAAAACAAATATTACCAAATCGAAACCGGCCATAATCCCTTAAATTCCAGAGCTGTTCAAAGACCCAAAAGCAGAAATCTTCCAAGAAGCTTTTGGCCGAGATGGGTATTCGAGATTCGGTGGGAAAAGGCCGTGGAGATTGGAGAAAGAAGCTTATAATTAATTTATTAAAAAAAATTATTTTTATATTTAATTTAATAGGGTGTGAGAAGGAACAGAACAGAAAGCGTCTCTTTCTCTCTCCAGCTGCCCAAGCTGTAGATTCTTGGGAAAATTACTGATATGGGCGTCATCCCCTCTCATCATTTCAAGGAAACCAGAGAGAGAGAGAAGAACTGTTTGTGCGAGTTTTGCTCGGCCGGAGGCTCGTGCGCGCTCCGGGTCCCACCTTTCAACCTCAACGCTACCTTGAGACATGAGTGGTTAACTTTTTTTCTGGACATTTTTGCCCACCTAACAATATTTCCTGGACGATCTTACCTGCTGGCGCTAGGAAGTCGGCAGATGGACATATCACATATTGGGCTCCCAACTCCCAAGACTTGCCTGGTGTCTAATAAAAAATGACTTGCCAGCTGCCCAAAAATTTGCCAGGTGTCATTTGCTTATGGTTTGGAATCCGTCCTATTGTGTAGTGCCTTGGAGATTAATAAGAGAATACGTAGCATAGAACACGTAGCAGGTTACGTGGTCTCAGAGTAAGGGGTATGGTGTCCGGTGTCCTAAATATTGTCTAGACTGGGATCAGATTTGGGTCTGTTAGTCCGAATTGAGTTAAAGTTCGGTTAGGGTTGAAAAATATAATGATTTTAGTTTTGGATTGGATTAGAGTTAAAGGTTTTGATAAATAAGGGTGATGATGGCGATGGGGATGATAATACAATTAATTTAATTGAAGTATATATATATATATATGGCATAGGGGTGGAATTTTTTTAACGTTAATATGAAGATTTAGAGGATAAATAGGGATAATTTATGAGATAAATATGAATTAGAGGAATTCAAATCAGCCCCCAACAACGTTCCACAGCACATCCCCGTTGTGTATTGGGAACATCTCCCAATGATAATACTAGGAATGATGATGTTATCATCGGGAGATGTTCCCAATACATGATGGGGATGTGCTGTGGGACGTT